GGTCCTTGGACGTCGGACCACAGTGGAGGGCTCCATCATCAAGGTGCCATGTCGCGCAATACCGACGATTCCTGCATGCTCCCGCGACTCAGTCCATAACGCCCGCATCTTGAGCCACACCCACAGCGGTTGTACCAGTTTAGCCCGCACGCAGTCGGTCTGACACAGCGCCACCAGAGGCGGAGACCTGTGATACCTAGGTTACCTCACTATCACTATCAAGGACCTTGCTAACCACTTCAAAGCTCTCAATATGTATGCCATGCACGGTAGGGATAAGAGAGGCGGGCGGTGCAGGGAACTCTGCTGAGCCCCTTGATATTCAAAATTCACCGACTTGGGCATACCACTCACTCACTGGACTCACTACCTTACCCACCCAGGTACCTACCTGAAAGTACCTAAGGCAACTCAGGTAGGTAGGTACCATAGGTACTTGCCTGGTGTGTGGCCGACTTCCCGGATACAGTGGCCGCCAGACCCGACACGACCTCCCCAGGTTGCCCAGCCAGGTACCTCCCACTCGGCCTGTTGGCTTATCAGCTCGCAATCATCTAGGCGTCAGTCTATGTGCCCCAGGGCCTTGCCGATGTCGTGGGGGGAACGGAAACGCAGGGGGCGAAGGGAAAGAGGAGGGGGGGGGGGTTTACCGCTCCAGCACCCCCTCTGTACCCCAACCGCTCAAAGCTGGTCAGCCAACCCAGGGCCGAGGCTGCGGGCGTGGGCACGCCTCCTCCTCCTGTCTCTGCGCCCGCCTTGTTTCGTCTGGGACGAGGTTCGCGATCCACCGTGTCCGATAACCGCACCTCGTCCCGTATCTGTGTGTTAAGCCCCGAGACCCCATCCTTGCTCTCTTGATCATCCGCCCGTCTCCTGCCCATTTTGTTCCTCATGGGTCGCTTCGGGTCCACCGTAGATTCCCTGTTAGAGACGTATTCTCAATGTCTTCTGCTCCTCAAGCGGATCAAACCACGCGAACATTCATCCGATGGAGATGCAGCGCAAGCTGCGCGCCTTCGTAAAGCCATCCGTGCAGATCGAACCCAGGTGCGCCAAGCCTACACCTCCCAACTGTCGCTCCTCGGCGGACAATTAGAGAAGGGCGATGGTAAGTTCAGTCGATACACTATTTAGCCAACGCTGAACCCAGAACGTGTCCATCGCGATCAATCCGGTGAGTCTTGTACTGACCAACATGTCGTCCATACTTAGCCGTTGCACGCTCCTCGGTAAGAAGGGCCATCAAGCGCCTCACCAACGCCGTGTCGCGTCTGCTTCAAGTGCCTGCTGTGACTGCGAGCCGCAACGGCCACCCGATCTTGGATTATGCATCCTTGAGGTCACTATCAACCGCGTCTTGCATCGACACAGTCAGGGCTATTGATGAGATGTCGATTCGACTATCGCCGTCGCCTCGCACCAGGCGGCGAGTAGTATCAAACCTGTCTGGGACATCCTCACATCATTCGAGCAGAACCAGTTCCAGTCATGGGCAGGTGCGATCGCCCAGTGCCCGCACCCATGATCACACGAAGACGAAGAAGCGCAAATCTTCATCTACCATGGCGTCGGCGAGTACCAAGCTCGGCGAGGTCAGATCAACAACAAGCCGCGATGAAAACCGTCAAGCATCAGATCAGGAACCAACGTTTCCTCTGCGTCCTTACAAACGAAGTTCGGATGGCAAAGGAAAGAAGTTCTGGGGACTGTTTGGATAGGTAGTGGGGGTATTCGGGGCATGAGAGGGAGTTCCAAAGTATGAACGCGCCAGGAACGTTACCTTGCTTGAGGCCATATCGACCAGCTTCCCCCAGCTGCGTTGTTGATTGAATTGTACACGTGCCCCCCCATCAATCTTGTGCGTGGTCCATTCCTGTGTGTGCTATTCGTGAAGCAACATAACGAGGTAGATGGACCTTGGCCGCCTCCACTGCGTTTCTTGCTGTTTCTGTCTTAGAGGTGTGGCAGCTGACATGAAGCCTTGCCAACTGGCAAGCAATTCAAGCTCAGAGAGACTCATCTGCCCCACCATAGATCGGTGCAAGCCACCGCACGAGACCTGAAATTCGCCTTCGACGTATGGCATGTATTGGCCTGGTCCATCCTTCGCCTCACGTAATTGACCCAAGCCAGGGAAGGTGAGCAAGTCGAGAAGACACCACACCCCACCACGACGTCGCCTTTATGCCGCCTGATCCAAAGTGGCCACCAAGAAGTAAGCCGGGATCATTGCGGTGTTGAATTGTCAACACCGTTTGCTCGTTCATCCGTCAACTGACGCTACCCCCCTTAGGAGCTCATCTTCGACAAACGACCCCTCACTTTCCTGGGAGCAACAGCACTCGACGCAATGGCTGCCGACTCTGCCGCAAACCTCACATCGCTCCTGCGTGCCTCTTCCATTGACGACCACGAGGAAGTTCTTCGTGCCGCCAATGCTGCTCTGAAAACCTCAAAGCTCGACACTGGCGCACAGCGCACCAGGGTTGTCGCTCTTCTGAAGCTCGACCGGTTTGAGGATGCCATGCGTGCCCTCAACGACGGCGGCGCCACGCTCGAGGCCGATTGCCGGCTAGAGAAGGCATATGCTCTTTACAAGACGGGAAAGTTGGACGATGCTGCTTCGCTTGCGGCATCCACCACTGGACGCAGCTTCAGCCACGTTGCTGCGCAAGTCGCCTATCGTGCTGAACGATTCCAAGACGCGAGGCAACTGTACGACGAGCTAGCATCTGACAAGGCCGCGGCTGCAGATGAGGAGAGCGACCTGAGCATCAACGTCCTGGCTACAGCTGCTCAGAGGGACTGGCAGTCGCAGGCCGCGCTGTCCAGCGGCGTCGTACAACCTCCCGTCGCTCCAGCCTTGGACACCTTTGAGCTCGCCTACAACCTGGCCTGCGGCTGCATCGCCCGCGGAGAGCTTTCGAAAGCCTCGAGTCTCCTACAACGCGCCAGCCGTCTCTGTGATGAGTCTGATGACCTCTCTGATGAGGAAAAGCGAGCAGAGATGGCACCGATTCTAATTCAAAAGGCATATGTGTATTCGAGATTGGGCAACAATACCGAGGCTCTCAAGCTTCACCGCCAGCTGGAAGCTTCCGAGTACGTTTCTCAGTTTCTGTCGTTCCTCCCATCCCAGAAATTAACCAGACTAACTCGCTTGCGTAGGATTAGCGACGCTGAAGCACGGCTCGTAGCGACGAACAACGCTTCCACGCTGGATAACACCGCAAGCAACCCGTTCGCAGTCCAGCGTACTCTCGAGGCCAACCCAACCGTGTCAAATGACGCCAAACTCTTTCACTATCAGGATAGTCGGCTACGACGGAACAAATTGGCACTTGCCCTACGTGCACAGAAGTTCTCGGGTGTTGCTCGTCAAACGAAACACTTGATTAGCGCATCTTCACCATCATCGACGACCAGTTCCGATGCAAATGTTCTATCGGTCATCAACGTGGCTGCTCGTTCATTAGAGCATAGCAGCCAAGTATCGTTGCGTGATATCTTGCCTGCGGCAGAGCGACACCCCGCCGATATTGGCGTCTTGCTGACGGCAATCCAGCTGCATGTCCTTGGCAAAAATTACGAAGCCGCTGTGTCCCTTCTTGAAGCTCTCTTTACTCAATTGGAAGAGCTGAAGCAAGGAGATGTCCGTTTCTCTGCCGGCCTTGTCGCCCTGGCCGTATCTCTATACCGAAACCAACGCCGGGCTGGTTGTGCGACTACTGAGTTGGCTAAGGCGATAAAGTACTGGAACGAAAAGTCTGACACCCAGTCGGCCTCGCTTCTGCAAGGTGCTGGTGCAGAGCTCTTGAAGTCAACCGACGCCGATGACTTGTCCGTCGCAGGCACTGCGTTCGAGAAGCTTTGTCAGCAGTCAACCGCGGATCCCATCGCCGTGGCTGGACTGATTGCGTCCTTTGGAAAGCGGGACCGCTCTAAGGTTGAGCCCTACCTAGGTAACTTACCTGCAGTTGATGGACTTGTTAGCAATGTCGATGTCCAGCAGCTTGTTGAGGGTGGTGTGGCCGTGCTGCCCGCAGCGACATCATCCGCTAAGGAGCGAACTGCTGAAAAGTCCGGAGGTCAGAACAGCCGGCTGCAGAAGAAAAGAAAGAGAAAGCTTCCGAAGGACTTTGAGGAAGGGAAGAAGATGGATCCCGAACGCTGGCTTCCCTTGCGGGACCGCTCATCCTATCGACCTAAGGGCAAGAAGGGGAAGAAGAAGGCCAACGACAGTACACAGGGCGGGTTCGTCAAGGAGGAGGAAACACTTGAGCTCGCGGGCGGCGCAGGCTCTGTCAAGGTTGAGAGAGCCCCCACGTCATCGTCATCGTCCAACAAAAAGAAGAAGAAGGGCAAGAAATGATGACGTCTTCCTTTGGAAACCGTCACTGATGAGAAGGGAGCGGATGGCAAAAGTGTTGGCACAGCACTGTCATTGCGATAAAGCACGCTTTTCAGGACGACCACATCATGTTATTGCTCTCGAGTATTCCAGCTTCTTCGTCTCTGCTCTCCACACAAGGTAGCCCGTGACCTGTGATCCGCTGTTTGCGACTACTCTTGAGTTCGGATGTGTCGCTTTTGTGCGGACTCGCCAACAGTTTGCATATAGATATTACATAAATTGCACACGGTCATGCCTGTCCCATGTTTCCGTAACCCTGTTGTACCCTGGTACTGCCCTCTCGAAGTCTTGAGTGCTTTTGCTTTCCTTGCCAAGCCATTCGCCCCTTCGAGTCATTCGTACTCATAGTCAACTTTTGGCACAGTTGCGCTGCCTGACTCCTCCTACTCAGAATAATGGGCCAATCAGCCTCAACGTGTCGAATACCTTGACGACCTTGAAACCCTGCATGTAAGATCGGAGTCGCGCTGCCGGTCAGGTCGCTGCTTCTGCGCATGATGATGGTGTCTAGCAAACCATTGAGGTCTGGAGAGACACGCTTCAGGCGCTGTCTGATGTTCCATGAATTGCGGCGGATTTGGGTCCTCTAAGCCTTGACCGACTGGACATGCGGACCTGACAGCTTCTGTCGCTGTTGAGAGTCGGCGCTCTCGCCGGCACGCTCTTCCAAGGGAGACGCTGTTGACCTGGTTGCAGGACTCTTCGGGGACACAAGTCTCGACGCGATTGGCCCCGACAACGGTGACCGATCTTCGTCCATCTGCAGCTCTCCAGCCTCTGCCTCCTCTTCGTCTCCAAACTGAGTCTCGATCGCCGGGAGCGGTGTACGACGACCTTCCGAAATGCTTAGCGCACGCTCACTCTCCGTGTCAGATGGCACCGAAAGCTTGCCTCCATGCGATGGTGTCTTATGAGCCTGCGCGGTAGAGTATTTACGGTGCAGTTCGCGAAAACTCCTTGCCGTCGCAGTACTGGCGCTGGCTGTCGACTCGCGGCGTTCCTTCATGGTCGGCTGTTGGCCAAGGGCATCATGGTAGTCTTCCTCCTCTTCTAGGCTTGCCGGAGATACAGGCTCTTCTCGCTGCGCCTGCATTTTCTGCCTCAACCTCTCTTCTGTCGGCATGTGTTGCAGACCCTCGCCAAAGTTGATGACTGATGCTTTCTTTCCATGCACCACAAAACTGCCAGATCCTCTACTGAGAATATCGTCTCTGATCGTGTCTTCGGAGATTCCACTTGAAGCTGAATCCTTGCCCTTTCTACTCCTGTGATGAGATAAGTGACCGGCGCTCTCCCTCAGAGTCCTCTGCAGGCTTCGACGTATTTTGTTCCTGTCGGCCTTTTCAGCATTTCCGGGGGCATCACGTTGCTCCGATAGGTCGCCAGTTTCAGAGATAGATCCCGTGCGAACTCCAGCTAAAGTGTGACGAGATGACGGCGACTCTAGGAGCCCAGCCTGTTCGAGCAAGTCGCGTTCATCAGCGTCGACATCGTCTGCATGTTGGTCTATGCTGTTCTCAGCAACCTGGCTGCGGGAGCCTTGTGGTGTGGAGGGCGGTTTAGTGCTCCCTCTGCCGGACTGAATTGGCACAGAAGAAGCCGCAGCTTGAGACTCAGACCGGGCACGTCGTAGAGGCTCTTCCGACGCTGACAAATTCGAGTCCCAAGACCTCTGGTGCCTATGTGACTGGAAAGTGGCACTTGTTGGGGGTGTCTGGAAATATTCTGTGGTCGGGGAATCGACATCAGGCTCTTCTGGCTGAGAACCGGAATTTTGGTGTTGCTGAGCCTTGCTGCCGATATGGCCGTTTTCGAGCGAGAGCGAATCTCGATCATCTGGCTGAGGTGGAAGGGGCTTGTCAATGTCGAGCGACACATCTTGCGCTTCCGTTCCTCGCGAGCCGTTTTTCGCAGGTGACATATCTGCCAAGAGGCCTTCCTCCTCAAGATCCTTGCTCAAGACATCCCGGTGACATCTGATCCTCCAAATTTCCATCCTGATCCACTTGATTTTCACATCCATACGCGCAGCCTCTCGCAAAAGCTCTTCGCGAGACTTGCTCTGGATGGGAGAAAGAATCTGTAAGTGTCGCGCATTCCTCAAGTCTTCTTCCAGCTCTTTTTCCTTGGCCGAGATATCCTCATCCGCCTTCTCCACAGATCTGGCCATAGTCTCGTGCCGTTGTGCAAGAATAGACTCGGCTTCCTTGTGATCAATTTTGCCCCTCACGATGCTGACCTCGCCAGTTGGGGTCTGAACCACCTGTGCGTTATTCGAGCTGTCAAGTCTTCGAATGCCGCGGCGGCTTTGACCCTCATAATTACCACCGACGACACCTCGCATTCTGACACCCGACGTCATGAACGCAGCAGCGTAGTTGAGTTTCGCCAGCCAGTCATTCATCTCGTCCTCGTTGTCTGCCAAAAGAACCTCCTCAACGAAAGCACCCGGCCTCGCGTAGTTGAAAGCGTTTTTGTGCTTCTTGTATGTTGAGTCGACAAGCGCAACTGCCTCCTTGATTGGCATGAAGGCATCCGGTTTGAAGTCAGTCAGCTGTGGCTTGAACGTGATTGGTTCGCCGTAGTAGCCTTGTTTGACGTGTGTGTCGTATTGGTGCATAAGGCTCTTCACCCAAGCCGTATTCCGGAAGAAATAGAGTTGAGCGCCCGTAAGAATAGCTCCCCACTCTTGCCACGGGGATCTTGTTTTCTTCTTCTTGGTGTCTTTCCGCCACAGTAGACCAACCTTGGTAATCTTGATGTCGACTACGCCTTGGGGGGCAGTATCAGGGTTGGTAGTGCTCTTCTCATCTCGGAAGGCATCTGGTCGAGACCTTGCCGATACAATTTGCAAGACACCAGTCCGGAAGAACGTTCTCTGCAGCTCCCTCACATTCAGGCTTTTAGCTGTTCCGAGGTAGTTGTAGTTGTCGTCCAACTCCATAACATCCTTCAGACTTGGTCGTAGGACGTCCAACTTCCCGTCAATGATGAGCGTATAAGGATCTAGTGGTTCCTTGGAAGACTTCTTGATTGCTGTGTCTGGAGTGCCGCCTGCGAAAATGGTCCGTCGCCTCCCCTTTTGTCGATCACCGTGCAAATCAACGTCATCCTCCAGATAGATGAAAGGGGTGTAGGTGATATTATCATAAAAGCATCGAAGGATAGACTCGGAAACACCTTCACCCCGAGTGTTCTTGATGTAGTCGTTTTGTTGCATCTTGTACTTGTTGTTCTTGTTGAAAACGTCCGTGTGAAGAATCAAGAGGGAAAATGCGATGAAATAAGCCTGGTCCGGTGAAGAGTATATCCCAGGGTTGCATTCGTGGTATCGATTTGCGAAGGCTTCTAGACATCGGTCAATCTGCTGGGTTTCTTTGGGCAGTTCTGCTTCCATAAGTAGTTTACGAATAGCCATGTCCATGGGATCCCCGAAAAAGCTGAAGCGGCGCATGTAACTCCGCAATACTGTGGCAAAGAATGGATCTGTGCCGCGAGATAGCGCACTGGCTATGACGCCCCGACTGAGTAGCTGCTCGATACGTGCGAGGTATTTGGCCGCAGTTTCATCCTCCCGTCGTTCCGGTAAAGCCACCGGCTCACGAGCGATTTGTAAAGAGTTGTTCTTGGAGGTGCTCGAGCCAGGGGTTGCCGGAGTAAGATTTCCAGGGCGCCCGCTTGCGAGCTCCGAGTTCTGTCGCAACCTGTTCAGGCCAAAAAGGTCACCCAGGCTTTTTCGCCCGGTGGATGATGAAGTGCGAGTCGTGCCTGGATTCAGGAAATCATCCATAGAATCTCGCCCTAGAGAGCTCATCGTAGATGATCTACCACGCAGTTGCAGTCGCGCTCGCGTTGGCGAGGAGCGTCCCGAGTGTATGGAGCCCGGGCGAAAGAGGGCTGTGGCAGGCGACACTGCAGGTTTTGTTGCCACATCGGCCGCTGACCATGATACAACCGAATCTGCATTTGCGCTGTAGCTGGAGGAAGGCCTCGATGGATTATGCGGTCGGGAGCTGCCTTCTCCAGGTTGAGACACGCCGAGCATGGAGCTCGAAGAGGCAGCGTAATCGCCGTTGATCGGCTTGCTTTTCTGTGGCAGATGGGAAAGATCAAAGAGCGGTGCAGCCGATTTATTCTTCCTACGCGGCAAGCGGAAGAAGTTTGTTGGTAGCGGAGCTGAAAGCTTCGTTGGTGTCGTCTCTGTAGGGTTTGCGGTGTGTGCCGAACTGACATCTGATCGAGAAGATTCGGAGGCGCGGTGAAGGGGGATAGGCAAGCCCTGAGACTCGCCTTCTTCAGCAGTTGGTAGCGTCCGCGATGAAGAAGTCTTGGAAACAGGTTCTTCAAATGTCACCAGAGTTGGTCGACTCCTCGCAGCGAGCTCTTCCAGCCCGGGGGTCCTCCTGTTCTTCCAGGTGTGTGCTCTTGTCATGTTCTCTTCGCTTGCTCTGGGCATTTCGCCTGATTTTCGAAAGCGATCGGCGAGACGCATACGGGACTGTTTCTTCTGGGGAACAGGTATCTCGAGTACAGGCGCCGTGGTGATGATTTCGGGGGCTTACTTTGCGTCAGCAAGATGTTTCACAACATGATCAAGTCTTCACATACGCCGGGGCATCGGCGGAGGCTTCTCGGCCTGCTGCTTGGCTCTGAGAGAGAGCTGAGAGTCGGAGGCGTTGCGAAACCTTAGGATGGAGAAGCGGCGGTGCTTTGGGGTCTCGTCTTGGATTGGTGGGGTCTCAGGGCGAGAGATAGAATCTTCATCGTCAGTACTAGCTTGTGACGCTGCGTGGTCGAGAGAGCTTGAGCGTGTTGGCTCCACGGGTGTCGTTGTTGGTTCTGGTATCGGGGCGGGGGGTGTGGAAGCGATGCTCGTGGCGGCAATGGCGGAGGTTGGAGATTCCGACTCGGTGAAGCGCGGCAGCGATAGCTGAGGTATGGAGGTGTCAGGCAAGGCTGAATGGCGTCTCATGTCGGATTCGCTGGCCATGTTGCCGTGACGGCGTAGAAAAGGCATGGGTGCGATGGGGCATGGTTTGCCAGGGATGGCTCTGAAGGCGAGGGAGGAGGGCACGTTGTCGACCCGGATAACAAGGTGCTGTCAAACTGTTGACGTCGAGGGTCACGCCCACGCCCACGCCTGTCGAAATTGGCGATGCCGGGTCGGGGATACAATTCAGGGCGATGTCAGCGCCGCCGGCACCTTGTGGTGCATTGATGCGAGCTGTGGTCGATGGAGGGATGGATTGACACCATGCGAAATGCACATGGGCTGGGTCGAGGGGGTTGGAGGCAACAGAAACCGCAGGTCTGGCGTGCAGGACCTTGACTGAACTCACATCCGGATGAGATGGCAAGGACATTTCCAGGGGGGTCCTCGAAACTGATGCACACTGCCAGCTTGGCTGAGGGAGCATGCGAGGAAGTACCCCAGCAGCCTTTGGACTCTAGAGCGAGGTACTTGCGGCGCTCAGTTAGATGCCTAATCGATGTATCCACAGATACCTCTACCTGCCTCCTGAGTTCTTCCCTACGTTCCTTCCTACCTACGCCTAGGTACCTAGGTAGGTAGGTACCTAGGCAGCAAGTCCCCTACCCACGACAGCCCAGAGCATCCGTGTGCCTTACCCCTCTGTAATACAGGGAGGGACTGGGAGCTGTCCAATGGGAACTCCGAAGTTTGCTTGTGGTGTGGCCCCGGCTGATGCACCACTAGGCTGTGACAATCATCGCCCACCTTACCTTGTTACGTACCTGTCACACAGTCAATCCTTGCGATACGCTTCCAACTACATAGCGACGTTGCCAATCCCAACATCACGTACATTACCGTAGTCCTCGATGCAAGCCCTGATATTCGAGAATCAGCTGATTGGGCTTGCTCCTCATTCCTCTCAATGCGATTTCAAGTAATTGCTGGCTTGGCCAGTATTGCCATCTTGCAACCAGGTGCCTCCGGCATCGGCACCGGACCTCTTGTAACCCACGACGATGCAAATCACCTGCACAACCCGACACATCGACGACTGCCCTTCCTCTCCTGGGTCCGCGACGCTGCGGTCGAACTTTTTTTTGGCCCATATCCTTCCAGGACCGAAATAAGGACCGAAATACGCCATGGCGTCCCGACCCCGAAGCACTATACGGACGAAGTTGTGCTACGCTTCAACCTAACCGCGCCTGAGGAAGAAGCTGCCATGGCCCGGTCAGCCTCCACCTTGTTTCTCGACATTTGGGCATTCACGGAGGATTTCGTCGACATCAGACTACGCAAAGACAGAATTGGGACTCTGCTTGGTGTGCTACCTAAAACCCTACGCGATTCCTACTCGGTGCTCATACCCGACGTCTCTGCGGCGATTCACGGGTCACGCCCTTCCACACCAGGTGTACAACACCAAGAATACATGCCTTGGGACGAGAGGTCTGGTCTTCTGCGTCCTCATGCTGACAGCGATACCGTCTTCTTCCGTGACTATCGACCTCTCTCCGTAAGATTCCCTTGCAAACCACTCGACTGGGCGAACGAATTACTAACTCGCGAGGCAGGTCATTGTGCCTTGGATGCGACTCCTCGAGGCTATGTTCCCTGCGATCACAAGAATGGTCAACATCGGCTTGTCATACGAGGGGCGCGACATTCCGGCTCTCAAGGTCGGGGTTTACAAGCCCGGCGAAACAGTACCAAAGAGGAAGACGCTGCTCGTCACAGGTGGCATGCACGCCCGGGAATGGATTTCAACGACCACCGTCAACTATGTGGCCTGGTCCTTTGTGACTAGCTATGGACGTGATCCCATGATCACTAAATTGCTCGAGCATTTCGATGTCGTCTTTGTTCCAGTCCTGAACCCCGATGGCGTGGAATACAGCTGGCGGGTAGATCGCCTGTGGCGCAAGACTAGACAGGGAACTGATGTGTCGTTTTGCCAGGGCCTTGACTTGGATCACGCATTCGGCTTCGAGTGGGACGGTGCTGGGTCTAACGGTGAGCCTTGCTCCGAAAGCTACGGAGGCGCGAAACCCTGGGAGGCCGCGGAGGCGGTAGCGCTGGCGAATTGGGCGCGCAATGAGACGATTAACAACAACGTCGAATTTGTGGGTTTGATTGACCTGCATTCGTATTCACAGCAGGTCATGTATCCTTTCTCTTACACCTGCGATACCGATCCTCCCAACCTTGAGAACCTTGAGGAGCTGGCTGTCGGCCTTGCCAAGGCTTTCCGGCTATCGAGCGGCGAAGCCTACTCGGTCACGTCGGCATGTGAAGGGGTTGTGGCAGGCGGAGGCGACATGGGCCGCCCGTCCCGGGTCGAAGTGGGCGGGGGCTCGGCCATTGATTGGTTTTATCATGAGATGCGCGCACATTTCAGCTATCAGATCAAGCTGAGAGACATGGGGAGCTACGGTTTTCTACTCCCGAAAGAGAATATCGTGCCTACGGGCGAGGAGATGTTCAACGCTATGAAGTACCTTGGAGACTACTTGCTAGGCAACAACGGGATCGAGCGTTCGAACAAGCAACATTCAATGACGCCGCCGGCGGGCGGGGGTTTCAGCAGCCTAGAACTTCGCCGGTTGAAGCGCCGTTGATGACAAAGGTACGCGGGAAAACACAAAGCGATGAGTACGGGTAATCACAAGAAGACGACCGGAGGAGATGACCTAATGGTGGTTGAGGATTATTACTACACAAGATGCTCTACCAGCCCATAACCAAGGCCACTGAGGCGTACAGGGCGGTCAGCTTAAGGGTGCTGTCGAAGATGAAAGAACCGATGGAACCGCTTTGTTATGGCAGATGGGTCAGTAAAGGGGTGGTTTCCGCCGTCGCGCTGTCCAAGTCCCTGCGCGGAGAGAGTTTAGGAGGAAGGGGGCGGGGGGATAAGAACGTACATCATACGACCTGGAGGCCCCCGCTCGCTGGCGTAGCCGAACGCGTAGAGGGAGCGACAAATGGACCAGCCGGCACCCAGGACGGCGGCGGCCACGGGGTAGCGCAGACCGGCAATGAGCAGGGCGCCAAGGAACGAGGTGTGGTTCTCAGTGAAGTTGGCATGGGCGCGCTGGGCTGCAAGCGCGCACGTCAAAGGTCAGTCATTCGTGAGGCAGAGGACGCAATGTTGGGCCTGCAGGGCAAACGATCAGAAGATGGTGACGAACCGCAGTTGAACATGTAGGCCTTGCGGTCCTTGTCTGCCTGCTCGTTTGAGGCGTAGGCGATGGGGTACTTCAGACCGCTCAGCTTGCGGAACTTGCTGGTGAGGATAACATGCTGGGTGTTGATGAAGAAGGTTGATGTAGCCACGAGGAGGACGTAGCTAGCCAAGCCACTTGTTAGCATCGATCAAAGTAGCCAATACAGGCAAACAGAAACAGTGTTCTGCGGTGCCATGGGAACGCGCGAACCTGAACTCTTCGGGAAGCTGAATAGTAAGAGGCATGGCGAAGAACGTGTGTCAATCTTTCGTCGAGTGGCTGCTGGGGCCAAAGGATGGGGGAAGGGGAGCCGTGGAGCCAACAAGGTGTCATAAAAGGCAGACTTATAGGTCAGAGCTCGGTGTTCAACACTAGGATCCTGGGTGCAAAACCGGACGGAACAACCACGGCATCAGGTCCCTAACAAGGGCCAAACCTGTCGGTCGGCAACACCTCAAAGCCCGATGGCCTCCACTACCCACAGCCCCCAGCAGGGAAGGACACAACAACTGAGTTGCGCACGATGACTAAGTGGGAAAGCGGTTCAACTATAGACCGTAGGCGCCTGCAGATACGTACCTCTGCTCCGGCGGTGGTTACGTGTCCGTCTTGGTAGGCAGGTAGGTAGGTAGGTACCTGGAGAGTTCCTCTCGGGCTCAGACATGGCCGTGAGACAAGTCCTCCAGTCTGGAAGACGTTGCCGTCTGTCCAGCACTTTGACCTCACCTGTGCATGTGGTTCGGATCCCTACAAAACTCGAAAGGTTCGTTGGCTGCGGTGCTTCACTGCAATTGGGACTGTTGTCATCGTTCAATTCAGGCCCTGATTGGACACTTGGGCAACCCGACAGAAAAGCACCCGCTATCCCATATGACGCCATTCCTACCGATGCACAATCCTCACCTCAGCAACTTCTCCAGCGCCCCCACCGACCCTTCTTTGGTCATCCACTACAACGTGCTCAACACCATGTCGAATGCCGAGATCAGCGTCGACACGTGCGCCTCCTCGAACACCAGCATCGGTCGCAACCTGACCGTCCTCACACCGCAGGTACCAATGTTGACACCAATCTGCTTCATCGCACGCACCAGCTCCGCAGGTTGAGGTGTGTCAAATGCGATAAACGTGCTGCGGGAGCATCTTGGTCAGCGTCCATTGAATGATGCCTTTTGCTCACGCTGGGGAGAACATTGACGTACCCTTGTCCCTTGCCTCGAAGATTCTGGACCTGCTCAGGATATCTCTCTGCGAGTTTACTGATCTCGGCGTAGAGAAGGTCGCCCACGCGTGCCTGTTCCAATGTCAGCAACTGATGTCCTTCCTGGGGGGCCGGCTCTCGACCGGCTCGGTTCCGCACGTACGCATTGCTCGACCAGCTTGTTGTCGAGAATCTCCTCGATGACAGCCTTGCACATGATGACACGGGCCGGGTCACCCATCCACGTGTTGAACTGACGGTAGGCCTTGTCCGGCACCAACATGCGGTCGCCGAAGAAGTACCCGGCCGTCTGGGCCTTCTTGGAGAAGGTCACAATATCCGGCGGCGAAGTCAAGTTCCAGTGCTCATGGCCCCAGAACCTGCCCGTCGCGCCGAAACCAGTTTGTACCTCGTCCACAATCATGACGACGCCGTGCTTCTTGGTGATGTCGCGGAGCCCTTGGAAGAAGGCGGGCGAAGCGTGGTTGTCGCCACCCTCGCTCTGGATCGGCTCCGTGATCAAGCCAGCCACGGGGCAGTGCCATGACGTGATGAGCCTCTCGACCTCACGTAGGCACCTCTGCTCCTCGGCCGCATTCTCCTCGACGTGAGCCTCAAGCGGGTACTTGCGCACCGGGAAGGGCGCCTGCGGCCAGTTGAACGACGGCACGTCGAGCTTGTGCACCGCCTTGGAGCGTGTGGTGGAAAGGCTGCCGAAGCCCCGACCGTGGAAGGAGTTGGCAAAGCTCATGATGGCGAGATCGGGCGATCCAGGCTTCGCATTGTTGAGGCACGAGCTGGTCTCCTCTGCTGTCCATTCAACGCCCTCGCCGCGCTCTTTGCGGCGGTATAGCATGAAACACGCCTTGTAGGCGAGTTCGTTGGCCTCGGACCCCGACTGTGCTGTGAATATGTTGTCAAGTCCCGCAGGCGCCGCCCTGAAGAGACCCTGCTTCAGCAGCTCCGCCCAGTTGCTAGAGGGGAAATTGCCAATGGCCGGACGGTTGACCAACGCAGAGATCATCTCGGGCGACTTGGCTGCGGCCACGAGAGCCGCATTGTTGTATCCCACGGGGATGGATGCGATCTGCGCATACACGTCCAGGTAGCGATTGCCATCCACATCCACGATGCTGGGCAATGTCAGTCATGCGATGCCGTGCGACCTGAGGGCCGTGCCGTTGCTTACTAGTTCCCTGAACTCTTTTCATAATCCACTACAAAATGAATAGCGCGAGCATCGAAGAAAGCATCGAGCTGCTTAGAAGCAGCCTTGGACAGAGGGCCAGGCACCTCTGTCGCAACCGAGTTCTCGAGAATGGCAGGCATTGTGGCTGCTGCTATCTTTCGCTGGATTCAGGTGAGCGCAGTCCGGTGGTTGTACGCAGATTGTCAAACTTAGTTTCGGCGCGCTGTTGTTTGTAGAGAGCCGTGTTTATCAGGGGGACCCGCGCCGGCATTATAAAGGCATTGCAATGCTTCTATCAGCGACTCCGGCGGAATGACTGAAACCGGCATCGTTGCTCCCGGCCCATGCCGGCCCATGCCGGCCATCATCCGGTGGCTATGTTCCCTCAATAATCTCTAGTCCGGCCGGTTTCTACTCTTGCAGTGATGTATGATTTGGCACCCCTAGTCATGTCGTGCCAGCGCACTTCGCTGACACATGGTACACGTCTTGACACCGGGCCGGGCAACATGGCCGGGACCCACACAGTCATAAAGCCCGGGAGGGGGACCGGCAGTGCGCGGGACCGAGCCGGGCTGCAGGTACCATACACCTGCAACAGCTTCAGACTCACATGAGCTCGAGTAGGCATGGAATTGAATTGGCTGCCATGATTGATATATGACTGGTAGAAGCTAGGCTCTTCTTACGGAGATCGCGGGTACGCCACGGCCTCGGGGACAAATTCAGTAACTTCACAAAGCTGCCTTTTTGACACCGATTGAATAGTCTGGCTGTGGACGGCAGGACGTGCTGCAGCTTTCATCTATTACCATGATCTCAAAGATTCACCCGGTAGGTTTTCCTCCAGATTTGTAGGGTTTTTTTTTGGGGGGGGGGGGGGGGGGGGGTTGGCTCTGCATGGACTCGGCTTACAACCACGATAGTTACATGATCCGTTCCTGATGCGAACGGCATGCTACGTGAATGGCGATTGGGTCGCGGCTGGCTCCAGCAAAAAATTCAGCGTTGAGAGTATGTCTCGCATTCGAGTCTCGCGAGGCCCGATCAATACTGAGGCCACTGTCCGTGGGGAAACCATGCTGACCATGTTCCAAGACCCATCAACGCTGGCATTGGTAGCTCAATGTCCTGACTTCGACGTTGAGGACACCGAGGCTGCCATCGAAGCCGCGCACCAAGCATTCGCATCCTACCGCAAGACACCAGCTCGCACGAGAGCTCGATGGCTCCGCCGTTGGTCTGAGCTCATGATTGAAAACGTCGAAGACCTGGCACGCATCATTACTCTCGAGAATGGCAAGCCACTTGCAGATGCCACGGCCGAGGTCCACTACGCAGCAAGCTTCTTCGAGTGGTTTTCAGAGGAGGCGCCGCGCATTTATGGCGAGACCATTCAGGCGAGCAACCCGAGCTGCAGGATCATCACACTCAAAGAGCCCATTGGCGTCTGTGGCTTGATCGCACCATGGAACTTTCCCGGCGCCATGATCACCCGCAAGGTAGGCCCGGCGCTGGCGGCAGGCTGCACCGTTGTCGTTAAGGCGCCGGCCGAGGCACCTCTCACGGCCCTTGCTCTCGCCGAGCTGGCGCACAGGGCTGGTATCCCCAAGGGCGTTGTCAACATTATCACGGCGTCGGCACACAACACAATCGCGGTCGGGAAGACTTTGACGACCCACCCCATCATTAAGAAGGTGTCTTTCACCGGATCCACTGGCGTGGGAAAGATCCTCATGAGCCAGAGCTCTACCACACTGAAGAAACTTTCCCTTGAGCTGGGCGGTAACGCGCCCTTCATCGTCTTCGAAGATGCCGACCTCGACGTCGCCGCCCAGGGCCTCATTGCATCAAAGTTCCGCATCTCGGGCCAGACCTGTGTCTGTGCCAACCGCATCCTTGTCCAGCGTCAGGTTTACGACGCATTTACTCGGAAAGTCCTCGACATCGTCCGGACTTTCAAGGTTGGCGACGGCCTCAGCGAAACAACGACACATGGGCCACTCATTCACCAGCGCGCAGCCCAAAAAGTGGACGAGCACGTCAAAGATGCCGTCTCGAAAGGTGCTCGAGTGCTCCATGGCGGCGAGCCTCTGAAACATCTGGGACCCAACTTCTTCGACATTACTTTGCTCGTCGACATGGCGCCCGGTATGAAGATCTGCACAGAGGAAACGTTTGGTCCTATCGCAGCTTTCTTCGCGTTCGACACGGAGGCGGATGCTATCGAGATGGCCAATGACACAGAAGTCGGTCTTGCCGGTTATTTCTTCAGCCAGGATGCGAGCCGCTGCTGGCGGGTAGCAGAAGCACTTGAAGTCGGCATGGTTGGGGTCAATGTTGGTAGGTTACCCCTGCAAACTCACGCGATACTGCATACGTGATTTCGCAGTCCATTAATGTGTATTACAGGCTCCATTAGTGACCCAGCTGCGCCTTTTGGTGGCGTAAAGCAGAGTGGCTTTGGACGAGAAGGTAGCAAGTACGGTATTGATGAGTACCTGGTGACCAAGATGGTCATGACAGGCGTGAGCGAGTCGTGAGCCATAAGATCAGGAGGGCCTGGTAGCCCATAGCGAGACGTAGCATGTATCATTTGCATAAAGAATACCATACATATGATTGTGTCGACGGTGTTCTGACTCTAGACCGCTGTCACGGGCCTTATCGGTTCTTCAAGGACGAGACGTCAACGCATCATGTGTCCCGGAACTTGCACAGGATGGGCCGGATCTGCTCAAGAACTCGCAAAATCGTATTCGCCACCAAACACCCATCATCTGGCGACATGGGCTGCCAACAATGTCTGCGCCTCCCTTGAATCAGAACGCCCGATTGAGCGTCCGAAGATGTGATGGTCGGGCAGGCCGTGCAAGGAATCGGCAGTGCGCAGTAGCACTTAGCCGGTGGCCTTCATGTTCTGGCCTGACTCAGGTATGCCGCCGCCGAAAGAGGCAAGAAAAACGCCCGGCCCCGTGTACTCGGCCACGGTCCTACCGGACCCCCAGAAAAGGAACGTAGCAGTGTCACCCGGTGCATCGCTGTTCCGGTGGCCGCCAGTCAAGTCTCAGCCCCTCAAACACACGCTGCTCGGCTGTTAACATATCGGGCGCTGTCCCTCGACTCCCTCTCTCCAAATCGACCCAAGACCCGTCTGATCGTTTGCGTATGCCACTGCTGTCGAATTTGTAACCTAATTCCTTCTTACAGTACCTTCGCACATCTCTCTGGAAGGTTGTCCCGCCACTCCACCCTAGAACTGCGCAACCCACTGTCTTCCAAGGGCTTATGATAATGTCGACACGCCGGTGTGGCCTGCCAGAAGGCAAGTCTTCGCTCCCCGGCTCTTGCCAAACAACCATGGCCTTATCGAGCGTGTCGAAACCCGCCCCCTTGGTCCTAGCAGCATCAGTCTTCCACGTAAGAGGCTTCTGGTCCCTCTCACTGTTGTGAGTGCTCAACGTAAGTGTATGCGTGATGAAGCGTGCCTTCTCGAGAGATGCGACGAGCCTCTCAATAAACCTGTAAGTGGCATCTTCGTCCGCGTGGCTCAAAATAACATCGACGTCACCGCTGCTTTTTTTGCCTCGCCTATGGCCTCCGACAATGGTCAGCTGGAAGCCGGGCTCGATTTCCTGAGCTTGTTGAAGAATGGTGGCAGCAATGGCTTCCACCTCAAGGCGTGGAATGGGTTGGAGGAACTCGTCATAATACTTGACTCCGATCTGCTGAACACGACTGAGGCGGTCCCAGCCGTACTCAACCAGATCATCCAAATCTCGCCAGCCCTTTTTGTAAAACTCGCGAGCCGTCATGTCGCCGACGCCCCATATATTATAGAACAGGCGAAAGACGAGTAACCTTGCCTCCTGCTGTGAAGAATCAATCTCCCCAAGCGAGCCTGTTGATTTCCACTGATGATAAAGCTCGGCAATTTTACTGCCACAACCAGGAAGTCTTGCTACTTCTGCCTTTGAATCAGTCTAGTTCTCGCAGATCACCTAGTTATGACTATCATATAGACTGACCAGGAGAAGTGGATATCGCATGAGGGTACGCCGCTAAAGTGGCTATTGCAGTCGAATAGGCACGCACACCAATCTCATCACCAAGCAGTTTTCGTGTCGTTCGTATCTCCTTAAGTGCCTCTACAAATCCATTGTTTGGTGGATTGACAGGTGTTGGTCTTTGACACGAGTATGTGGTCCTCAAAAACGCTGGTATTGAAGGCAGAGTCATTCCAACATCATGTTCCGACGTTGTTTCTCTCAGTAGGCTGGGGCCTTGGGATACAGGAACAGACCTGTGAATGCTTCGGCGCCCCGTTGGACTTTTCCGGTCCTGCTGAGCCACTGGCTGCTTTGGCTCCTCAGACTTCGAATGTCGCGGCGACTTTGCCTCGGAACTTTGAATAACTTGACCTTGGTACAGCATGTAAGACTGCATCGGGAGCAGCGTTCCTGCTGCCAGCGACTCCGTCACCCATGCCAGCTTCAATACCCTGATTTCTTTCGCCGGCCTTGATAGTGTGGGGTCTCCATCGACGCTCGTAGAAACTCTGATCCGCTTTCTTGGCCCGGTCTGAGATGGGTCAGAGTCGACAGTTACGTCCAGTGGCTCAGTGAGGACATTCCTGTGCCGCAATTCGAAGAGCGCTCTTTCTCGCTTAGAGATATTGCCGATGATAACGTCCGCCTCTAGTATATCATATGTTAATGAAGGAATACTTTCCTCAACCTCGTGAAGTCGTCCGGGATCTAGATGTGTGGGCAGAAGAAAGATCGAAGGAAATAGCAGGCTCATGTCGGCAAATGAAAGAATGCTCGCTATGCATCCGATTTCGAGTCTGCTCATAGAACACAATTCGCCTAGACGTCATCGTGTTCTTGTAGGCATGCTGTTGCTGTTTGTAATAGGCATGAGGCATGCATGAAGCGAAAAAGCATGTGGGGCAGGCATGTTAAATACTGTTGGCCTGTGTTCATTAGCCCGCGTATGCTGTGGTGACGACCAATGGTGATCATCAGCGAATCACCATCCTGACATCATTGGTACATTTGTGCTTATCGTAACAAATGGACACACCCCAAATGTCTAAAGGCCTGGCTCGGTAACCATTTCTAGACACGAAGACCTGGATAACGCCCCGTGCCCCTGCAAACAACCTGAACACCCCCAGCATCATGGACGATAATGAAATGTTGTACACCTCCGTGGCCGTCCCTGAGCCGACTCTCATGAAACATCTTCAAATTCAAGGTCTTCTTCGCTCTCGTCGCCTTCCTGCTGAGCCGGCGACTCAAGCTTGACTCGTTTTGCTGGCAAGTCGTCGGCGCTGTCTTCATGGGAATCTGCGCTTCTTTTATTCGCAGGCGTGGCAGCACTGGCTGGCGTTGCCCCGCTGGAGTTGTTGCCTGTCGCCACAACATCCTCGAAATCGTCCTCGTCATCGTCTTCCTCGTCGTCGCTGCCTTCTTCTGCCAGCGCCCGTGCAGCATCTGCTTCTTGCTGTGCCTTAATAGCTGCGAACATTTTTGCCATTTCCGAGTCATCTTGTTCCTCCCCGCTGCTTTTGATGCCCTCTTTCGAATCAAGTGCTTGCGTTTTCACCGCAGGGGTCGATGTAGAATTCGCCGTGAGATAGGATTCTCCTGTAACGGTGCTGTTGGACATCCATGAAGGTAGCGCATTTTGATGCGCAATCTTATCTTTCCTGGCCTGCTCCGCGGCCTTCTCTGCCTCTGACGGTCCGTCGGATGTGGATATATTGACTGATAGAGACTTTGGTCCGATATTGTCCAGTCCTTTGACCGATGTAGGCTGGAGGGCCGAGACAAAACCGATGGGACCCTGGCTGGTATCGGGTGCGAGCGGCTTGTAGGCACTGATGGCTATGTCGAATGTGTTCTCTGGTACGACCACATCATCGATGCGCGGCAGCATCTCTGTGATGAACTTGAACTGCTCGTTCAATCTGGTTGACTCTTGGTGTCCCGTCGAGTGCCGTTCCAAGTCATGTGTCAAGGGGTACTCGCAGTTGTGACAGAGGAACCCTGCGCTGCTGGCTTTGTCGAGCACCTCCATTTGGGTCCATTCCGCTTTGCATCGCTCGCAGAAGTATTCCTTGCGCTCGCTTACCGGAATGTTCGTGCCCTGTATCTCTTTGTCCACGGTGTACACCCGCCACTTGATCGCGTCGATGGCCTGTCGGTAATCGATGAAGTAGTATTGTTTGTTGATTGGTCGCTTCTGTTCCGGGTTATTCGACTGCTCCGGTCGCGTATATCTATGAACGATGGGGATTAGCATGGGGAAAGATGGATATATGGAAGGGCGTTTCCGTACGACGTGATGAAGCGATCTTCTCGCAGCTTTCCGCAAAGCCTGTGTACCTCTTTTGTGTTCATTCCCAACATAAAGCGCAAGTCTTCGTCCTTGAGTCTGGTCTTCGTTAGCACCTTTGCGCCTTAGGAAGATTCGCGAATCCGCGCTGCAACGTACGCCGAATGGATGATTAGGGCGTCAATGACCAGGACATAGTTGTTGTCGTAGAAGGCTCGAACCACCTGCCTGACCAACGTCTTGGCCATGTCCAGTGGAGGCGCCATGCTCCTCGATCGAAGATTCCCAGGTGAAGTGACAGTGATGTAGTATGTGAATCAAAGGATCATGTGATCAAGAAGGCAGTCCTGCGGCAGCAGAAGAGCTCAGGTTTGCGAGTGTGTCAATGTGTTGGGCAAGTGGTCCATCGCCGACAGGGTAGGAAGGTTGAGCGTCGCGCTAGCTGGTAGAATTGTTTGCGCAAGCCTGCTGAAGTGGGAACAGTTCGATGGAGGCAGAGTCAACTTCACGCTGGTCTCTCGATTGCTTAACCCGCAGTCGACTGTGATGAATCGTCGTGGGATGGTACTCGCCAATATATTGAGGTGGTTGCCCAATGCTGGAACAAGGGCAGAGGGTCGCAAACTACTGCTACAAACTTCGGAACAGCCGTCAGATTCGACGTTGCCCACGAGTACTGAACCAAGCACTGGTGTTGGTGGGGTTTGCACGGGTCTGACCCACTAGAGCTGCGACCAATCAATACTACAGCTGGCTAATGGTGCAAGTACATCTGCAATCGATCAGCGCTGGGGTACAGGACTCTAGGTAACAACTCTCAGCGTTCTGACACCCGGCGTGGTGCAAGCCATATTCAAGCTCCGTTGCCCCAGATCTTTTCAAAAAGGGTGCAGTCAAAGTGATGAGAATTTCTCGCAGCGATCAAATAGAGAGAAGCAAGCCTAGCACCAACCAAAACGCCAGGTCGACCGGTCATACCCGGTCGGAAATGAACCGGATTGCATCTCGCGCCTAACACACCACTGACTAAGTTGACTAAGTTGAATCCCCCTTGCCCAAGCATAACACACTACCTTCGGATACCTTAAGCAGCCGGATCACCGGACACCTGTGCACCAGATTGCAGCAGGCAGAAGAAGTTCACCCACGCCATGAAACCCTGTTCTTTCAAACATACTTTCGAAGCTATGCAAATTGTTAGCAAAAATTCAATGAATCTCGAAGTTGGGTACGCAGATGAAAGTAGACTTACGTCGAGCGTCAACGTCCTCGAGCTGTTGATTTCCTGATCACGGTAGACGCCTACAAGGCTCTCGCTGTCCTGGAAAAGTCCTGCCTTGAGACTGATGACGACAAACTGCATACCGGGTCCGGCATGCTCCCGAATGTACTTCTTGATCTTGTCAACGTTGGCGTTGTCGAGCGCGGCATCAACCTCATCGAGGACGAAGAAAGGGCTCGGCTGGTAGCTATGGATGGCAAATAGTAATGCCAGCGCTGCCATAGTCTTCTCGCCACCCGAAAGGAGATCCATGTCTCGGAATCGCTTGAGGGGAGGCATGGCATGGTATTTGATACCTGCCAGGTAGGGAGTGTCGTTGTCTTCTTCCTTGTCCAGATATGCTTGGCCACCGAGAGGGTACGCGTCAGAGCGTGTCAGATCCTTATAGACGGTCTTGATCTGTTCCGAGATGTGTGTAAAGGCCTTGTTGAAGACCTCATACCTTTTCGTCTTGATCACATTGAAGGCATCGCGAGCTTCTTTGAGCGCCACTCGTGAGTCTTCGAACTCGCGTTCGGTGTTCTTCAACCTGGTCTCAACACCTTCCAACCTCTCCATTGCCTTCATGTTAGGGTTGATCTTTTCCAACTCCGCCGCAAGAGTGTGTATTCTCTCCTTGAGGGTTTCGCTCATGCTCTCGTCATTGGACTAGCACGCGCGTTAGCAGGCTGCTCCTCAAGTCCAACGTACCATCCAGGAAGGGTCCATAAGCTCACATTCTTCAACTCGTCGCTGAGCCCATCAAAATCAATCCTGATGCCATGATCATCGAGGGCAGCATCCAACATGCCGTCGTCCTCGTCGTCGAGGTCCATGGCATCAGGGTCCTGACGCAATAAGTTGTCCTCCCTAGGCAGGTTGTCCAATGACCCATCGACCAGCGGGATGTCGACTCCGTCCATCTTGCACCTTCTCAACAGCGCAAATTTGGCGGCACCGTCTTTCTGCACACTTGTTTCAAGGGCATTAATGTCCTTCTGTCTAGCTTCGATCTCTTTGCTGCGACTCTTGACCTCTGCCTTTGCCTCGGCGACCTTCTGGCTCCGCTCTTGCTGCTCTGCGCGGGCGACCTGCAGATTCTCGCGCAACGCATCCAACTCGTCCGAGACCTCGCCCATCTTGTCTTCGATCTCCGATTTCTGTTGTTCATACGTTTGCAGATCTTTCTCGAATTGCCTCAGCTTCCTCTCCATGGATGCCACACGACCTTCAAAGTCTTTGAGCCTTGACTCGTTCCAGGCAAGGGTGCTCTTCAGCCTCTCTTTTTGGACTTCAAACCTGTTTCGTTCTTCTTCGAGTTGACGTTGCAAACCCTGGTGCTCTGCATCGTACGCTCGGATATTGCTCAGACCCAACCTTTTGCAGAAGTCACCGAAGACTCGGTCCTCCACCTGTGAGATGGCTGCTCGGAAATTCTCCAAGGTCTCGGTTGTTGATCGTAGCTCGGCGTTCTTCGCAGCGTACTGAGGCTCCCAGTCATGAAGCTGCTGGGCTTGGTGATCTCTTTCCCGTGACCTGCTGGCATGGTTTTTCTCAAACTGAGCCAATTCATATTTGGCAGCCGCCAGTTGAGGCTCTAGCACTTGTAGATCAGTACGTAGTGTATCCTCCGCACGCCTATCAGTTGCCGGCAGGTTTTGTATTTCTTCGGTGTACTTGGCGGCTGTTCTCCTCAGAGCGTCGACGTCGTGTTCCTCGAAGCGCCGTTTACCGCCCTTGTGCTCGGGGCCCCGTCCACCAGTCATGAGACCTCCTTTGTGGATGACGGTACCGTCCAGCGCCACAGCCTTGACAGGGATTTTTTTCTCGTAGCAGATATGTGAAGCCACGCGAAGGTCGTCACACACCACCGAGCTGCCACAAGCATATGCCATGGCACGTTCGTAAGCAGAGTCGAAGTCGATCGTGTCGATCGTAAGCCGCGCCCCGCTGACACCTTTGACAGCCGTGTTCACAGCGTTGACCTTGATGTTGTCAAGCGGAATAAACGTCATTGGTGGAATTTGGTTGTCCTTCAGATGCTGGACACACTGCATGCCCGTCTTCTCGGTATCCACGACAACGGACTCAAAGTCTTTGCCGAGAGCAATGATGACAGCCTCGTCAAACTTCTTCTGCTTAGGCTTGCAAAGATCTCCAATGCGACCCTTGACACCAGGGTAAATGCGTTTGAGCGTGCTGACCGTCTCTTTCATGCGCGTCTCGCGATCGTTTTGGCGACGGCCATCGTCTGCTTCATTTAATTGCCTGGCCACCTTCTGCAAATGCTCCTCAAGCTCAGTTCGTTTGTTATTTGTCCGCACCCGAGTGGAGTCTAGCTGTCTGAACTCCTTCTTCTTCGCATCAATTTGCTCAGAAAGGGTGCTGATGGTGTCCTTCGTAAACTTGGTGCGTTCTTGGATCGTCTCGAGTTCGCCATCTAGTTTTTCGACGTTGGCATTGAAGCCGTCGACTTTGCTCTTGAGACTATTGACCATAACTTCATCTGTCTTTTGTTGACGGACAAGGTTGTCGATCTTGTTTTGGTTGGCTGACGTCTTGGCAAAAACCTGACTGCGCAGAGCGTTGTACTCTTTGCGATCTTCGTCGCTGAGCTCCGTGCCCTGCTTTCTAGACCGTTCCTGAAAATCTCTCTCCTTGAGCTCTTGAGCCTTTTCGACAGTCTTGAGCTTCTTTCTATCATCTTCCAAAACTTTGACCTGATCGTCACGTTCTCTTCGTGTTGTATCGAGACGTTGGCGAAGAGCGCTTGCTTCACGAGTGCTCTGTTCCACTTTTTGATTGATGGGAACAAGGCTGTTCTCAAGTTCTTCGATCTTTCGCTCTTTGGATCTGATGTGCTTGTCATGCTTGCTGACATCTCGTGTCGCCGCCGCAAGCTCTTTATGTGCGGCTTCCAACTTCTTCTCGAAAGATGCTACGTTGCGCCTGAACTCTTGGAGGTTCTCCTCGTGATCCTTGATCTTGTCGTTGGACTCATCCATGCTGCTCTGAAGATGAAAAAGCTCCCACAGCATGCGATCAACGATGGCGCGGTCTCGTTCTTCAGTCTTCTGCTGAAAAATTTCGACCTCCTTCTTTTGCTCTTGGTATTGCTTGATCTCTGAGTTGATGCCCCGGCGTCGGTGAAGCTGAAAGCTCTGGTCCTCGGCGGCTTTCTCTGCCGCCGCTTCAAGACGTTCATAGTCGGCCTTGAACTCCAAGCTTCCCGAAATCTGCTCGATAAGACGCGTGAGGTCCTGAGGAGACTGAGCTGCGATGGCCTCGACATCGCCTTGGAAAACCAGAAAGTTCCGCGCCTTGATCAGAATATTCTCGACCTCGAGGGCTGTGTTGTATTGCTGTGCGTTCACAACACGATCGTTGATCCGATATTCGCTGGAACCTTGGCTTGTGATTGATCGCTTCCACTTCTGCTCATCGCCGGCATCGTCCTCGTACACAGCCATAACCCAGGCAGTCTTTGGGTCGTGGCGTGATGGCTTGTCGCCGTTTGATTTCCCATCTGCGTCTCCATTGGCGCTCGGAGTGTCCGCAGACCCGTCGTCGTTTATTTTGGACGTCTTGAGGACGCGGCCGCGATAGACCAGGTCCTTGAGATGGGTTGAGCGGAGGTGTGAAGACTTGATTCCTAGGACGAAGGAAATGGCGTCCATGCTGACGTGCATTAGTCCGTATTAGCAATGCGTCCTGATCCTCTCGCGTAATTCCTAGAATGCAGATGACAACAGGGAAGGAACAAGGGGAACGCACGAGTTGGACTTTCCAGATCCATTGGGACCGATGATGGAGGTGAAATAGGAGTCCCCGAATAGGAGGACATGATGCCCTTTGTAGGATTTGAAGTCTGCAAGGCGAATTAGTAGGCGTGGTGAAGCTCATGGGAAAAGGCGCAGCATACTGAACAGCTCGAGGCGTATGAGTTTGCCCATGGTGGTGGTATGGCACGCGTGAATAGCAGTGTCAAGGCTTGTTGGAACAACCGTAAATCATTGGAGACCCCAATGTGGCCGAGATCGAAAAGGGCTTGTGTTGAGCCTGGTGACCTAGAATGTCGATGTTGACCGAGGCTGTCGCGAAGATGGATGGAGTGCGGCGCGAAGAGGGGATCGTCGTGCATGCGTGTTCGCGTTGCAGGATAGAAGCAGTCGCGTGTGAAAACGAAGATGCTAGTTGATCAACCGTGGTAACGTAAGTCGCAACAGGCGCTTGCCTATGCCTTCAGCTTCGTGTGGGCAGTCGGGTCGCACACTGCTTATCCAGGATCTATCGAGTCTGGCAATGATGATTTACGAGTCTCCCACTTTCCACGCGCGTCAAGATGCGCCAGCACGCGACTTGGGGCAGTCCCCACAACGTTGGGCTGGTGCGGGCGGGTTGGCACTCACCCCACACAACGCGACGGACAGCCAGTCATCAGCTTGAGTGCGACCAAGGTCATGTGACTGCTCTAATTTGCAGGTCCAGGAACGTGCAAGCCAACCACAGGGACCAGACTATGCACCTGCTCCAACTACGGGCATCCAGCGATCGGGGGTCCTGAGGTACCCAGGTACGTTTCCCGTGAAGGTACCGACCTATCTTGCGGTGCCTTACTTGGCCAGTAGACGGACAACAGGACACGCATATGCCAGTATACCGCTGATGCCTTCAAGGTACTTTGGTTGTGAGTGAAATACCTGAGCTCAACAAAAACCATGTGGGAAGGTTGAATGCAGTTTCTTCTTCGCTTCCTGGGGCTACTTGATTGCATCATTAATAGGTAGCTCAGTCAGTTCACTCTGGAACATTTGCGACTAAAGCGGAGCAGACGAACGCCCGTGTTACACCCTCCCAAGATGCCATGTGACGCAACCTCGTGAAAAGGAAGAGGCAAGAAGGCGCCCGTGATCAATAGAATTCGCGAGGCACTGGCCACTGTCAACAGGTGTTTTAAGTGATGTGCTATGTAAAGGCGGGTGTTATCTACTTCGCTACTTCCAAGCATATCCTGCATAAAGCGTGCGGGCTCGAGGTAGCCAAATCAAGCATTGAAGTCTCCACTGTTAACGAGTGACGTCGTAATGCTTAATCGTGTTCGTTATCTATCGGTCGCTCATCTAGCTCTCGGCCCTGGTCGACATTCTTGGATCGCCTGTCCCGTGAACAATCACAGGGACGAAGGGCAGCCCATCTTGTCATCGAGAAGACGTTAGCTTGAGGTACCATCCTCTATTCGAGCCTTGCACTGCCTAGGGCTACACATTTGGGACACACCTCTCACGAGGACAGCTCATCTTATTATCCGACTCGTTCGCCCACCCTATTCCAGCCCTGTTCAGCTTACAGCCACCTCGACAACACGGGCATACTGACACACCGCCTTCGCGACCCAGCACATTGCACTTGATCTTCGACGCTTGTCTCATGATCAGTATTTGCGGTCATCCCACGAATCCGAGATGTAAGATCATGTACCCTTCGATACCTGGCTATCGCAACTACGAAGAACAGGTCCCTGATACATAAGGGTGTTGAGCAACACGAACAATCGCTGACCTCCGTGTCCAGCTGTTTCAGCTGTGACAAGCTACGACTGCGAGAATGACGCACTCTAAGCCCATCGACATGCGAACCTCGAAAGAGGGCCCGACATCATCACACGACGATCTCCCTGCTGTCTTCGATGCCAACGATGCTCCTTCGCTCAGCTCGTCCCCGCCCGACCACGATTCCTTAAACACTCCCAACATTGGGCCGACTACACCCGGAAGCCCAAGGTTGTCGCGACATCCCTCCTTTTCAGGGAGTAGCTCTTACCATGAAGACTGGGAGGCTTTCCCGCCCCTGGATCGCCTGTCGGTGCTCGATCTTCTTGATAACTTTGCACTGCCCCAACAACTCGAAAAGCTACAGAAAGGCATCTCGGCCCAGACACAAAAGGTCAAGAAATCGAGGGATGCGTTCAAGTCGAAGAGTCACCAGGCGCGAGAGCGCATGGTGGAGGAGTGGAGGCGCCGTGTGCCCACCGCTGACGAGCAGCTTGACCGCTATCGCAAACGGATGCGTGTCAGCGTTGACAAGCTGGGCAAGCAATGGGGCGACGCCAAGATCATTACTCTACGAGAGAAGGTATCCTTCATCTGTGGCGTCATGAATATCTTCCTCAGCGGCTACCTCATCGGCGGGTTCCCGGAGTGGTTCCACATATGGTACACCATCCAGCTCCTCTACTTCATGCCGATCCGCTTCTTTACTTATCACCGCCGGGGCATGCATTATTTCTTGGCCGACCTCTGTTACTTCGTCAACTTCCTCCTCATGCTCAGCATCTGGGTTTTTCCTGGTTCAAAGCGACTATTTACCGCGGCGTACTGCTTGGCCTTCGGCAATAACGCTGTCGCTATCATCATGTGGAGAAACTCTCTCGTCTTTCATAGCTTCGACAAGGTCACTTCACTCTTCATCCATATCATGCCCTGTGCCACTTTGCATTCCATGGTTCATCTCTGGCCTGAGCAGCTCCAGGCCTCTCGGTACCCTGCCATATGGGCAATCAAGCATTCGCCCGCCGGGTCACCCACTGCTTACGGCAACGTTTTCTCGATGCTAGCATGGAGCTCCGTTCCATATGCGGTCTGGCAGTTGTCGTACTACTTCCTCATCACCGTTCGCCGCCGGGAGAAGATTGCCGCCGGCCGCCCCACCTCGTTCACCTGGCTTCGGCGCTCATACTCAAAGACATGGATCGGCAAGGTCGTACTAGCATTGCCCAACGCGCTACAGGAGCCTGCCTTCATGGGGATACAGTACAGCTATGCCGTGCTTACCATGCTTCCTTGTCCCATCTGGCTGCACAGTCGCTATGCCTCGGCTGGTTTTCTCATGGTCGTCTTTGCATGGAGTGTCTACAACGGGTCGACATATTACATTGATGTCTTCGGCAAACGGTTCCAGAAGGAACTCGAATCTTTGAAAGCCGAGGTCAGCCAGTGGCAGAACAGTCCAGAGATTCCACTCAACTCGCCTTTGGTCACACCTCATCCAGACGGCCCTGTGTCCGCCGAGCTGTCCACGGCTGTAGTTGAGGACATCACCCCGCAGTTCAAGCCCGAGGTCAACAGTCCACCCGGCGCCAAAGCTGCGGGGCTGTCGAGTGTGGACCAGATTCCTCTCCTCAAAGACGAGAATCTAGCTGCCGTATCTCGCTCCTCAGGCGTTGACGGCGGAGTCAAGGACGCTGCTCGTGCGAGGAAATCAGGCTGACCCCACAAGCTGGCGAATGACGTTCATCGGACATGCTGCGTTACATCTTTGGCGTTGATATTTTTCGTTCTCAGAAATAGTTCGCGCGAGGACTCTTGCTTTTCGTGTTGGTAATAACTTGTCATGCTGGCTTGCAGTAATGTGGAGGGATCCGGACTTTCGAGGAGCATGTCAACCTCCACGAATGGTTGATTCTGCTTCCTTCACCAGCGTGATTAGGTATGACGGTGCTGTTGTAATGCTCAGATACCCAGATTAGGCGAGCGATATAGGTTCTGCATAAGGTCGTGCTCTTTTTGCTTTCTATTGTTTGTCTCTCCGTTGCATCGTTTCTAGTCATCAAATGCTCCCTGGCATATCAGATATGGTGACTGTAGGACGAATTGTCCACTACCGCCTATACTTGACATTGCTTGGTATCCGGTATATTGTGATCCAGCGAAAAAAGAGAAAATTCCTAGAATCACCGTTGACTAAACCACTGATCTCATCGGGTTAACTCTTCGATGATGCAAGTGGCAGGTACAGTCCCTGAGGATCATTCTACAATGTTTGCTATAGCTGTCAATCGACAGCTAAAAGTATGTGAATCAACACTGAATGTTGCCAACACCTATAGTTGGGGTTCATGATTGAAGCGTCCTGATCAAGGGCCGTCGCAAGTGGGAAGTTGTCTAGCTAAGTATACTGTGCTGGATGCCATAGGGTTTGACCTCCAATTCAATAGCGTCACTAAGCCTCAGACAGGGCAGGTCGTAGTTTAGGGGATAGGTCCACGAGTGAACTTTGCCAGGTACAAACCATTGTAGTTTGCCATAATTGAAGCAACAGTGCAGCGGCCTGTCGCTCACCCTTGAGTGTTGACGACGGTACCTCGGACACCGACAAGTGACAACGACTGTCTGTGTCCACAGCGGCATGAAGCGGACTTCAGCCATGGCTACCGAGGTCTGCAAGTGACGAACCATACACGGTAGCGATTCCAGCGTCTCGTCCAAACCAGCGGCACTGTTGCCAAACAAACCACATCGGACTTATAACAATAGGCAAAACTGACAGGCGTTGCTGAACCCGGTACAGTTCAACAGGTCTACTGTTCTGCTTGTCACATCAGCGTGGTCCCCCAAAAAGAAAGGAATTACCTGGAAGCCAAGTTACGCATGGCCTTAGATCATTACAAGAAGGAGCTGCGGCCAAGCTGTCATGGCATGCCCCACGCTGCACACGGCGGTGGTACAATCAGCTGTTATTTTTGCTTGGCGCTCAGTCGACACAATTACGGTTTAGGCGGACTCTATGAAGAATAAGGCGGATGGTCATCGAAAGTTGCATTGGTGTTTATCATCTCATCAAGCTGAATTGCATCGAAAGAGCCATGCTGAGGGTGTGCGAAGCCGTCTCAAGATCGATGAAGGCGGGGAGCGAGAGTTACTGATACAGGTGTGATAGATGTGGCCGCGAGGGGGGAAGGGGGGATTGAAGGCGGCAGCTGGCTGGAAGTAGCGCGAAAAGTGCGAATCCATGGGGTTTATGCCCGTCACTGAGACAAAGCCTGTCGCGACGTGTAGCGTTGCCGAGTTGATTGTGTGCGAAAGCTACCAAAAAAAATTCCGTGCAGGGTAAACCGAGCTCTGAGGCGAAAAAAAAATGCCTGGTCGATTCTGTGCAGGCCGGCCTCGCTCTAACCGAAAGCGAGGCCATACCAGAGAAAGACGCAATCCGAAGAATCCCATTTTCGTTTCCCACCCTTACTAGTCGCATTGCACAAAAACTCCATTAGAAGACGGAAGGATCGAGAAAAGTCCGTCCTGGTCGATGGTACCAAGAGCGGAAGGAAGCGCGACAAATGGCGGTCCACATCGCCATAATCAGCGGGATCCTGTGCATATTAGCCCGTGCCTTGAAGAGGTCGTCAGTAGTAATCCGAACCTCCACCGTAGGGCTCCCGTGCCTCGGAACGACCACCAGCAGAGTCACCGTAGGTGGCAGCGGCAGCAGGAGCATCACGGGTGCGCGGAGCGTCACGCTCAGCTGCGCGATCGTAGCCCCTTTCGCGGTCATAGCCAGGGCCACGGCGGTCATCGCGATAGCGGTCACCGCCCTCGCGGCCTCCACCCTCGCGACCTCCACCCTCGCGGCCGCCACCACTGCCGTAGCGATCGACGCGGCCACCGCCGCTGTAGCCATCGTCACGCTCGCGACGGTCGTAGCTGCCGCCACGGTCGTCACGGTAAGTGCGATCGTAGCCGCGGTCCTCGCGGTATCCTCCGCGATCCTCGTAGCGACGCTCATAGCCGCCACCACCGCCGCCGCGGTAGCGGTAGGGGTCGTCGCGTCCATAGTAGCCGCCGCCGCCACCGCCGTAACCACCGCGGCGACGATCGTCGTAGCGGTCGTTCATGCGGCCACCACGGCCACCACCTCCGCCCTCTGCAAATCGATATGTCAACGTCACGGGTCGTTATAGGACCAACGGGAATATGCTAGGACTTACCACGCTTGGGGGGGCCGAAGTACTTGCCGGGGGTCGGGGTGCGAGGACGGGCACGGCGAGCCTTTTCGATGCTGAGGGTACGGCCGTCAATCTGTTCTCCCTGGAGACCCTCCTTGGCAGCATCAGCTTGGTCGGAAGTGACCATCTTGACGAAGCCGAAGCCGCGGGACTCCTTGGTGTGGGGGTCACGCATGATCTGACACTTCTCAACCTCGCCATACTTCTCGAAGAGGCGCGTGACCTCCGACTCGGACAGGCGAGGGTGGATGCCGGTGACAAAGAGGTTGGAGCCAGGGTTGATGGCACCGTCGTCATCACCGCCCTTGGAAGCAGTATCGTTGTCCTTCATGGTACTGGAGAGACAAGAGACATAGCGTAAGCACTGATCCAATAGGCGTCGGTTTTGGAGAGGGAGGAAAAGACGAAGAGAGACGTGACGTACCGATCACCATTGCCGGATGGCGAGGCAGAGCGACGACGACCGCCATCGGCTTCGTCGCGCAGGGGACGAGGAGAGGCGCTGCGGTTATCGCGCTCGTAGCGAGGAGTCTCTTCTGAGGAGCCAGTCATGTGAGCGAATGCAAATATGGGCAAAGACGCAGCATCGAGTGAAGACAATAGAATTCCGATCACTCATGACAGGAGGGATGATGAAGAAACTAACCATCGTAACGGTCGCCATTGGCGGTCTCGTAATCCATGCTGGTAGTGGCCATATCGTCTGATTTGATGGAGACGAGAGTTTGATGCAGTGGCAAGAGAAAAGATGGGCGTGGATGGGTAAGGGATGGATGGAAGAATGCGAGGCTGTCGGGGGTAAGGGTGGAAGCGAGGCAGCGGCGGAAGGCTCTGTCCGTCGTTCGCGTTAGTGAAGGGTTGGAAGGAAAAAAACAAACCCCAGGGGTAAGGAAGGAAAGAAGAAGCCTCAAAGGCTAGGAGCAGGTATATGAGGGAATCAATGCAGGAGCCGTGTCAGTGATTGATGCGGCAGCCGGCGAACGGGAGGCGATAGTGAGGCGTGGTGTGGTGAGGCTGGAAGGCGACAAGTGCAAGGTGATGGACGTTTGTTGCAAAGTGGATTGCGAGGTGGTCAACGAGGGAGGAAGGTCCTAGGTCACGCAAGGGCTTTGCATCGTTGCCAGGCGCAAGGGGCTACGTGGAGCAGGATCAAGACTTGTATCAGCTGGCAAACTCCAGGTGACAGCTATGGCAGCTGTCAGCACGTGACTGTGCTGAATTGGGCGCCAGTTCCCACTCTTTCGCGTAGGCAACGCTGTGCACCGAGGCCAGGTACACCTACTCGGTAGGAAGGTTCCTGAGGAACCTTACCTAAGGTACCACCTTACCCAAGGCATCCGACGTAGCTGGGAGTACATGTACCTACCGAAGATGCCGTCCACATACCTACATACCTAGCAGTCAAGCTTCCATGCGAATCGGACCAAAAGAATGGTGCTCTGAGTACGGTCCGCTCCTACCACATGATAGCCTGTTGCCAGCATGAGTCTTCTCCGTAGGTTAATTACCTAAGTTGATTTGGGTAGCCCGATACTCACATCCCTGGCTGCGCCGACGTTGTTGATAGTTCTCAGCCCCCCTGTTTGAACCTTTGATTCCCGAGAGTCGCGTGCGTAAACTAAGGAAAGTCCGTCCATATGAAGGGCGGACTTCGGCATTGAGGCTTTCAGGATCTGATGAAGCAGAACGGTGATGGTAGAGTGAGTACAGGATGAATAGCTCATGATCGGCTATTAATCGGAACTTTCGCGTCCCTGAAACGCGTGGGTATAGGACCATTGAGGTGCCTTGAGCTTGTCACTTGATTCGCGTAGGTATGCGATACGCACCAGTGGCGGAAAACCCCCAGCTTCACGACTTTGATGTCGTCGAATGATTCCTAAATTATGGGATTGGTGGATCGGGAGAAGTACTTCAGCAAACTCCCTAAAGTCCGACCCGTCGGGTGCGGGAATCACGAGTCGTATCTGTTAGAAAGGCGGGGTACGGGTGTGCAGAGTCCTTGCGCCTATGGAGCCTTCTCGCAATTAACGAGATCGGGTGAACGTGAAGGATAGAAAGCGTCCTAGTGCAGCGTAGAAATGCCGCCAACCGAAAGCTCGATAGAGGGGGTGATCATAAACCCAGGCCCACGCGTGGGGGGGCGTACTATGCAAGAACAGTAAAGCTCGGAGACTCATCCCGAATTCCACCACGAACGAACCTGCGCTGACCCATGGTAACAGGTTCATACCATGTCGGTTCAGATGTGGGTTACCCCTTTCGGACGCCCGATCAGCTAGTTGGCGAGAGGCTGGACTGCCGTCGGTCTGTGACGGATCGGCGGTTCTTTAAAGAGTCCATCCCCAACCGTCTGGCGGCCTGTTGAAGACCGATGGATCTCAAACCTTCGATCGTACAACACATTCTCGCCTCGCTAGTCCTCTCTGTCCTGCTGCTCTCGAAATCCTGAACGAATTCGATTGAGAGATAAGCAACCAAGACTCATTGAGTACGCAGCCATCGCATTCCACATAACCACAATGTCATCACTTGACGGCAAGGTCTATGCGTTCACTGGTGGTGCCAGTGGGATCGCCTTTGCAACCGCCAAAATCCTTGCGAGGCGCGGAGCCACGATCTGCATCGCCGATATCGACCCGGAAGCAATGAGGGAGGCAGAAAGCTACTTCCAAGAACACAACATTCGCTTTTCTATCAACAAAGTGAACGTTGCTGTCCGGAGCCAGGTAGATGATTGGATAGACGGTATCGTGAAGCAGTTCGGACGTCTGGACGGTGCGGCAAACGTTGCGGGCGTCATCGGCAAACACCACGGCACACGCCCAGTCGCGGAACTAGATGACGACGAGTGGAACAAGATTATCGCCGTCAATTTGACAGGATGCATGTATTGTATGCGGGCCGAGCTTCGAAATATTGTTGATGGCGGTTCCATCGTCAACGTATCTTCGATCCATGGGCTCAGAGGTGCGTCACGGTGCCTTCCTCCCCACAGTAGCCACAGCCAACTGATGACCTCTCAGGATTCGCGAATCACGGAGCGTACGATGCCAGTAAGCACGGTATGATTGGCCTGACGAAAGCCGCGGCCAAGGAGAACGGCGCGCGCGAAGTGAGGGTGAATGCCGTGGCGCCGGGCGCTATATTCACACCATTGATGGAGAAGAATTGGAAGGCTGCTGGACGGTCGCTGGACGCACCGTTCGACGAGCCGACGGCGTTTCAACGGCAAGGAACCTCCGAAGAGTGTGGTAATGTCCTAGCCTTCCTGCTCGGCCCCGAAAGCACATTTGTGAGCGGGTCCGTGTATGAGGTGGACGGAGCATGGCTGTGATGGCCGCCTGCGGCAAACAGGTATATCGTCGCGGATCAATATAAGCGGAACAGCGATGCATGTACAGGCGTAGGGAACGCTAGCCAAGACGTCTAGGCTTGACAGAGGGATGCTTCGTAGGCAGCTAGCGTGTTGTTATTCTTTCACCACACATCACCCGGGTCGACCTCGTGCCTCTCGCCGTCGTCCCGAATATGTTGTAGCTTGGTATCCCGCTTACATGGCTTCCGCATGTCGAAGGCATCTTCACTGGTAGCCTTGGAATCGGTGGCATGGTCGCCGTAGTAGTCTTTCACCACGCGGAAGACGCTATAGCCCATGCCCTTGTAGAAGTTGATGGCTCGGTGGTTGCTGGTCCGAACGAAGAGGTCAACAAACCAAGCATCGTTTGCGTCAGCTGCGACCTCCAGCTGCTCCGTCAGGATTTTACCGATGCCTAGCCTGCGAGCCTCCGGTGCGACGGTCAGGGCAGTAATGTGTGCGTGCCAGGGCAGGTAATGCTCGGAAAACTTGTAGATATCGGGAGACGATTCAACCTTGCCCATGACTAGCGATTGAGACAGTCAGTGGGCGCCAAAGACGCCTGAGAGGAAACGAATACATACTGTAGCCAATAATATTCCCATTCATGTCTTCGCAGACCTGGAACAGGGCTGGCCATTTGGCATGATATTGAAGATAGAACGCAAGCTCGTAAGTTTCCGTCAAGGGGTCGAGGTTGCATTTTGAAAATTTGTCGACATCGTCAGGGACGAAACGCCGGAAGGTGGCCATGGTGCGCTTGTTCCCAATGAAATTGATAGCTGGAACCGCCAGGAAGAGTTCGCGACGGTTGATCGTCGACTGACCGACTGGCCTGGAAAGGACTTCGCTACTTTTGTGGCACCGTCCGCAGCTGGGCGGTTGGAGGGGTTAATTCTACCGATATAACGATATGGGCATCGTCGTATCGCGATCGCGGGGTCCCGTCATGGTCTGTTGTCTTTGCTCCAAGGAACCTACGTTAGGTAATCGTGGAGGACTTGGGAATGCAGGGGCTCTTGTTTAGGGGGGAGGGGCCGCGTCCGGCAAGGATGTACGGGACGCACCACCAAAGCAGGCAGCCTGCACTCCTGCCAGTGGCCTCGACCTCCCTTTCATACCTACCTAGGTACCTAAGGTACCTCGGTGCGCTCATCATCAAGGGTGTTGTGCCCCCCTCCAGGAAGTGATCTTTGTTCCAGACCTTATTCCAGTTCTCGTCCCATCTTCAAAGACGGCTGGAGTCGAAGGACTCCTCTTCTTGAGCCCGTGATTTCCAGTGTTTTGCTTTGTTTTGTCATTAGAGGGGGCCAATCACAACCAGACACGAACTGGGGGCAAGCCCGTGGCATGCCTATAGCAGGTCCCCCAACCACGTCAATCTCGTCTCATAGCTTTCATCTGATATTGTTCTACGACGTTGAGGCAGGGCGGACCACCGACTGCCCTGATAGTCCCCATCGTCTCCAGCCACGGCCTGCCTCGTTTCCTCTCCAACGACTTCGTCGCGAGAAGAGTCATATTGCACACGAAGCGACAAACAACCATCGCTGCTAGTTCACCGCCCGCGGCTGTCCCATCCGCACGGCTCCTTCGCCTGGTCTCTAGTAACCCCCTCCTCGCGCCCAGGTCCTGACCGCCGACAAGACGCCTGGATATCTGAATATCGTCCACGCGTTTACTTGCATCCAGAATGCCTTCCTCTCCGCGCACCCCGAGGCATTCCCGCCACCCCTCCAGTATCGACGCGTCCTACCAGTATAGCAGCACCACGTCCTCGCCACAAGACCGACGACGCTCCAGGTCCTCGTTGCAGGATCCTGCAACGCCCATTGGGACCAGCTTCAACAACCACGATGGTCTCGACATCGGCATCTTTAGCAGCGGGGGTATGGGTATGGGGACGGGCAATGGCATGGGAAATTTGGCCGACGAGCTGGCTGATGCATTCTCTGACTCTGGCGAGGAGGGCGAATATTACGAAGAGGATACACTGGACCCCGAACAGCGAACGATCGAAGGGAGAGTGGGCATCGATGGTATACGGGACAGCGGCGTTGACGTTGCGGAAGAGGTCACTAGTGCTGTCACGAAGCCCACCAACCTGAATGTGCCTTCACCGGTGCGTAAGGGCCATGCGAGGTCAGGAAGCGGATACGATGGGAGCGAATACGGTTCGGAATCGGATCTGGACTCACCAGGCATCCCACCAAGTTTGATTGCGAGAATCGATGCTGTCGAGGCGCTGGCACGAAGGGGCACGGAGAACAACGGCAGCCCGGCAGACGGCGTCTTCGAGCGTGTAACAGAGAGCCTCAAAGACCTGGGGTCCCAAACAGGCGTGGAAGGAAGCGCGACAAGGTGAGTCTTCTTGGGGTTGGCTTGCCGTCACGGGTTGCAACAGCTGACGTGGTCGACGCAGGCTCATTACTGCGCACGCCGCTCTCACGACACACTTGTCACATCAGACTCGCCAGATGCACAACCTGACTTTCCCGCTGCTCTCGCCTCTTGTTCCGCCGCCAGACCCAGAAGTTGTAGATGAGTTGCTCCCGCTTCTTCTCGAGCTGTCCGAATCCATGCCTCGCCCCATCGCCAAGGCGCACGACTCCCTCACAGCTCTGCACACCCTCACTTCAGACCTCATCTCAAGCTTGAACTACCTTTCCGACACGTTGCACATGTCGCGTCAGACGACACTCACAGCGACCCGGCGCCTCAAGAGCGCCAAGGAGCTTGTGGCCGAGATGAAACGAGAAGAGGAGCTGCGTGACGAAGGCGAACGATGGCTTACGCGCGGCAATTGGGGCGAGAGGCTCGAGAACCGCGAATGCGCCGGCGTCTGCGGAGACGTAGTTGGCGGCTTTGAGGAGGTCTGCAACGGATGGCGAGCCAGGCTGCTCGAGCAGGCTGGGTCCGCTCCCGCCTGATCGATCGGGTAGGCCTGCTGGATTTTCCTGCTCGTGCCCCTCTTTTGCGTTGAGCGAGAGCGCTGGATATCCAGTGCTCCCAGGAGCTGTAGCTCAGCGTGGCCGTGCGACAATGAAATCAGAGCCTCCTATGTGCTAGGCGAGGTAGACAAGGAGGGGCCGACTTCTGGATAGAGAAGGCATCTCCCGGCAGACGCAAGTCGCTATGAGACACACCGTTACGAGACCATGATGATAGACCACGTACATGGGCTTGCGAGTTACACTTGATATGATTCATGTTCTTCGGCCTTTTCAATGAACCTCAAGTGTCTTGCGTGTCAACTGGTGCGCGTTATTGCCTTTTTCTTCCTTTTCCCGCCTTATTTTGTGGAAACCTACAACGTGACATGTCATTGAATACATAGCGATTCACCACAAGTTAGAACTCACCGCAGGTAGGACACACACCACGAGGACAAACATCAGATGACATATGCCACTTTTATTTGGAGGAAGTGCATGGAACGCGTGGGTATCGGTACATATGATATCAGAACAAGTGCTCACTTTCTCCGGTATTGACTGGGGACTTGCCACGCAAGCGCCCTTCACTCATCGCCTAGGCGGAGCGTGTACGGCGTCTCCGGGCGATCTGTGCGGCTGGTCCCCCATGTCCCCCGGCTGCCTGGCCGAGCGTCGCCAACAGTGCTGGCTTCAGGATCCCTGTTTATGGCCGCGAAGCTGCGTAGGCTCATATTATCCTCGTTGTGTGCCGTCGGCGGCTGCGATGTCCTGCGACGCTGCACCCTGACTGCAGGCGCCTGCATGTGCCGCGGGAGGGGATCCACCTCGTCGTCGACGAGGACAACCATCCAGACGCCGACAGCACCATTGCTGCCCACCAGCGGCGTGCAGTGGATCCAGCGCGGTCGGCCCTCAACGCCCGGCTTGGACGACCACCGTATCTTGGCTGTGACGCCATGGCCGTCCGCGAACGCCTGAGTGAGTCCTTCGCGGACACGATCGGACCCGCCTATCTTGCTCATGAAGGGCGATTGCAGGATTCCGGGTACCCGGAGCGATGGCGAAGCAAACAGGATGCGCAGGCTGGGATATGGTCGGACAAGAAGATAATGCGCGTAGATACCCGTAAGTCTGCCGCTGGATGCTGTTGGTGATGAAGGCTGGCTCTGCGCCGCAAGTGACTCCTCTCTCAGCAAGATGCGAGGCTTGTTCCAGTTCGTTGACCCGCCATTGGACTGGTCCGCCTCCTCCTGCTTGACGCGGTACATGTCCCCGCCACACCGTCGAACAGTCTCCAGCTCGGTCGAGTTGAACATCTCACAGAGATCTTTGAATTCATCCTTAGACTCCTCTTCGGGGTTGTGATCAGCATCATCGCCGGGTTCCTTGGCTTCGTACTCTGCCATGAGTTTCTTCATGGCGTCAAGCCCAGAACTCTCCTTGACAAGTCCAGAAACGTCGACTTGGGCCCCGATGAAGTATCTTATTGTGCCTCGGCTGTCGTACAGAGGGGCCATCATGAGAAGATTCATGAAAGGCGACCCATCGCGGCGGTAGTTGAGAAAGGTCTCGTAGCATTCCTTGCCGGCCAGCAACTTGTCCCGTATTCTCTGAACGCTGAATGGGTTGGTCTTCGGCCCCTGGAGGAAACGACAGTTGCGTCCAATAACGTAGTTCATGCCATACTGAGTCGTTCGGTAGAATTCTGGGGTCACATGGTCAGCATCCACCTGTCATCATCTCACTCACTTCACAAACACACCTTCAGAAGCAAAGACAATGGGGTTATCCCGTCGAGAAGGGTCAGTCAGACAAAAGACCTCAGCGAGCCCCTCCGACATCTCCCGCAGTTGGACGGGCAAAGTGCCTGTAATCCGTCGCTTAATCGACACACTGACTGTTTGCGTCCACAGATGCGTGATGTAAGCAGGCAGGTCTTCGCGAGTCAGTGCCTCGAAGGCAGCCTCGGCTTTCTTCTCCAGAGCCGTGTTAGTAGTCTTTCCAGGCCCCTCGCTAGTGAAGTCATGACCATCCGTGGCGTCCAGTGCCCGGGAAATGGCATTAGCGTACGCAATGGCTCGCAAGGCCTTCATCGAGTCGAGGTAGTACGTCAAGAGCGGCAGGGACTCGCGGCGCGTTTCAGCCAGGAAGTCTGTGAACTTTTGAAGAAGCACGTAGTCGGAAAATATGCCCTTCAGGTGTTCCTTTGAGAACAAGACTTCTGATCGAGTTTCAAGCGAGTGCTGCCGGCTGATTCCCTGGTCTGGTGCCACGAGGTCGAAGGAGCCAGGTTCAAGCTCTTCGTCTGGGATAGGCTCCAAAAGATCATCATCCCCTAGACCTTTGGTCTGCAAGGGGATCAGAGACGTGGCGTTGGTCTCGTACGATGAGCGCGTAGAGTTGGCTCGCGACCTCGTGGAACGTGTTGGGGCACTCTTTGGTGGCGGACTCAACGACTGCGCACCCCTCGGCGCGGTGTAGTCGGGGTCGGGTGAGATCACTCTTCCCCGCAACGGTACCTCTGTGTGCTGCAAGTGTTGGCTTCGAGAAGATATCGTCAGCATCGTCGGCGCATAGCATGGCCATTTCTCATCGTACCTCGGCTTCCTCCTGGAGTGCAACACTCTTGGGCTTACAGGGCCCTGGGGGACCCAGTTAGAGCCATCATCCTCCCACGGTGTAGGGCTAGTGCCGGCAGCAACGGGCCCTTGTCGCCGGAGAGGAATATCAGGTATATCGGCGCCAATATCCTCAAGGCTGAGGCTGTGCTGGCGCATAGGATCGTGACTGACTGTGGCATGACGGCCTTCCGGTTTAGAGACAGCGTTGCCGCGGCGGTGCCGGTGTAGGATGTTTTCTCCTAACGGGAGGTGCGGCATGGCGAAGTGATCAGTTGAACAGTCGAAGGATGAAGAAGTTCGTAGGCACAAAGTGGTCGAGCACAGACTTCTTCAGTAGCGTATAATAGGTGGCCTTCTGTTCCACTACTGCATGGCTGTTCAGTGAATATGTCAGTCTCACAAGGCAGAGGCGAGGCAGGTGTCTTAGTATATGTAGATAGTAGCGGAAGACAGGCAGACCTCGGACAGACGGGGGATCAGGATTTCCAAAAAAGAAACAAGCCGCGGACCCAGGAGGCTGACTCGGCTCGTGTGCTCACCAGTAGGCATGTCTAGCACTCCTGCAGCCTCTCGTTTGCTCGTTGGGCGGCTTGGATGGAGTTTGACTGTGAACCGGACTACATCCCCGATCGTGGTGGGCTTGCCGATCTCATCCACGAGCCTAGCGGAGCGATCAGACCCTGGCGGGGGGGGCAAACCAATATTCGTTCGCACCTCAGGTCCCTATTCAGAACCAGCTGCTAGACACGACGATCGACGGGGGCCGTAGAGACGGCTTAGGCTATGAGCTAAACTGGGTTGGCTTGAGCCAACGACGTCAGTGTGGTACAGTAGCCGCCACGGCATGGACTGGACTTCTACAACTGCCGCCTGAGGTGAGTGCGCATTGTGGCATCGTCAGGTGGTAGTCGTAGCCATGGCTAGCAAGCTGAGTTTGCATCGAGGGCGACAGAAAGGCAGATCGATGCGAGCATGTCACATCCATGACGAGAGGAGACCTGCACTGTGCAGGTTGACCAGGATGATGCCTGACATATTGAGCAGGCCGCGAGCCATAATACAAAAGCAGACAATAGACGCTGGGGCCTCTTGGGCAATTTGACAAGATGGGAAGAGGCGTGGGTGACAGCGGTAATGACAGATGGCAAATGTCCCGATGGGGAGGTCAAACAGCAGGCGGTCGAGGTGCCGATGCTGGTGGGGACGCTGTCGAGACCCTGGAAAATGGGCCCAAAGGCCCAAAGGCCCAGATTGAGGTCATGATGCCCCGACGCCCGGGCCTCCGCGCTGCCGCGGGCTGTTGGGTGGAGACCTAGAGGAGGCTCATGCTCAGGAACCGAGCTGAACGGCGCAGGCACCGATCACCAGAAACCTGCTGGGGAGTTGTTCATCGGGCGATCGAACTAACTCCACATCTCCATCTGCTGTACCTTCGTAGGGGGTTTCCACCTACACAATGTGCACATGTGGATGCAACCTCAGGAGGGCGGATGCTCAGAAGAAAATGCAACCCTGCGAGCAATCTTCCTTCTCGGGTTGTCAAGCTGCCGTGCGCGAGGCCACGATAGTTTGACAGCTAGTGATGAGATCCGCAATGCTGTTGTGGGTTCATCAGGCCAACGGCTGCCCTGAGCGTCTGTCGTCGCTACCTCGAGGAGGTTTAGCAACCCGTCTGTCAGAAATCGCCATCGACATCGAAATCGCCCATCATCTTGTCTCGAGCCGATCGCAACCAGGGCCATGACTAGTGAGTAGGCTGACATTGGGCTGGGATGCTGCAGACCACCTAGCCTGTAGGCCAGATGGAAACAATGAGGAGTACCCGGCAGTGGATGCAAGATGAAGCAATTGCCGAGCGAAGGATCCTTTGGGGTCTGGAGAGAGACCTCGCGGCATCTGTAACGAGCATGCCCGCGCATTTTCCTGCCTGTGCCTTTCCTGACCACACCACACATTGGAAGGGTTGACGAACGGTTTGTTACCTGTACAACGTGCCAGAGGGACGGGACCGTGGGTTGTGGTGATCCGAAGGCTTGCATCTCGGAGCTTTTAGCAGCTCGGGAATATGCAACACTGTGGGCTCGCCGTACGTGGTTGTATGATGCACCTCCCCCACTACACAGGCTTGACAGGTAAGACCCAGTGTTATAAAGGTGTCATACTTGTACTTTTGTGGCATTTTTCTAGCTTCACAGAGCGCTTCCTTCGGCTTACCTAGGCTAGACACAACTACTAAAAAGGCCAAAGCTCGAGGCAATGGATGGCGGGGGACGACATTCGAAGCCGATTGCGGCGGGGCACAACGCCCGGCGCACCGGGCACAGGGCACAGGGCACAGGGCACAGCACACGGTGACGACGCGGTTGACTTGTCGTCTCTGCTTTCTTTTGTGTCTCGTGTTGGTGCCGCGTTGGTGTTGACCGTTGACAGGAGGCAACTAGGGTAGGTAGCGTGAAAGGGACAGGAACGCTCGACTCAAACCACGTTGCGTGTTTGGAACAGCCCGACGTGACCTTGACGTGCCTACTGGCTGGAGCCGAAAAAGGGGCCTGGGGCGAGGGAGGCTTGTCGTCCAATCAACGCGCCCACTCCTTTTCCTTGCCTGCGTTCTGCTGAATCAAGACCCTTGTTGCCAGAGCCAGCGACCACTTTACGTGCTCCTGACCGCGACCGTGATCGCGACCGCTTCGACACAACACGCGGGTATTCCGCGCGTCACACCTGTATCCTGCTTGCCAGCCGCAAGACTCGAACAAGCAAGGCGATGACAGATGTTACGACTGAATTGACATGGCTTTGCACGTCAGCCCGGCTTGACTAATGAGCTTGGCTGCACGGTTGAGTTGAACACGCTGACAACGTCGACCCTCTCGATTACCGATGTCCGCTGTAACGGCCTCTGTAACGGCCTCCCAGCAAGGCTGGCTGACGAGTGCGTCACCACCAGACTGTCTTGTGTGAACATTTCGAGACGTCGTCACCAGGCCACGGTGGGACAAGACCCGACCTCGGTCGATTTGGCTGGCATAGTTGCAGTGGTTTTTAGGCCATGAGGTTATTTCTGCGATGGTTCTTGTCTCATGACAGACAGATCGATGTGTAGCCTGCCAAAGCAACGTGTCTAGAAACACATGAAGATGAAAGATGACTGAGAATTTGGCTGAAGCCCCTTCCTTGTTGCCATATGGCTGATCATGGGCTCCAAGCGAACAGTTCCAAACGAGGCCCGGCTCTGAGAGTAGGTGCTCGTGTCTGCTCCCAATCCATAATCCATAGCCCAGTCGGGTCTCGTTCGGGAAACACGATCGCCGAATGAATCCTAGGCAAGACACAAGGCGCGCTGGGTGGCTCTGTTTGTTTTCCATCACGACCTGATGGTGGTGTAGCGCGACTTTGACACCAAGAGGCGACCGCGAAGGGCGACCATTGCCCCCTGCCGTCCCGTTGCTTCCGGCCCAATTGAGCTTAGCGCTTCTTCGGTTTGTTGTGCTCCAGGCTGGATGGAGTGCAGGCGACAGCTCCCACCTAAGGTGATAACGATAGCCGCGAACACACCCTGTAGCTTCTTGCTGGAGTGTTTTTGCCGCTCGCCGCCCAGCGTCCCGCGCCGTTTCGTCAGGTGTTCGACGTCTCCCTCCCGCTCGCCTACTCGATGCCGACGCACCACCTTCCCTACCTTGCCTGTAGTGATTGATCCTCAACCACCACACCTACCTCACGTCTACGCGCCGGGCCTCCATTCACCCGTCGTGCGGCACCTCCAGACGACGTCGCAATTGCGATCACCTTCCCATTTTACACCTCGTCGCCAAAAAGCCGACATTCCAACCAGAAGCGTCCTCTCTCCCTTTCCTGCTGTAACTGTCTGTGCACGGGGCCATACATACGACTTGAAGGTGGAATTGGCTTTCGACCAGCCACCCCGTACCGAAACCCGCATCGACCCCACGACGACTCTGTCACCAACTCCTGGGAGGACTATGCGATCGGGACAATTCGCGTAGCCAATATTGTTTGCTTTCCTGGCGACTGTGCCCCGTCCTTTCCGTGGTTGCGGACGATTCATTCAACGAGCCCAAAACGGCCGCTGCCTTGCCGCCTTCCTTCCTCGCATCGTCACTGCTCGGCCGGCCGACACGAACCCCTGGCGATTTCGAAATAAGACGACATTGCAACTCTAGCGCTCGAGAACAGCAGTCCTTCTTCCGGATCATGGACGACCCCGTGGAGCCCGTCGTCGCAGCATCGGCGCCAAGCTCGAGCTCGAACAACCTCCCCACTGTCGCTACCAAGGGAGCTTCGGTCGAACCGACAAAGCGCTCCTCTACCCGTTTCGCTACCCCTCCCCCGCCCGCGTCCGCAGGCGATCGAGGCCGCCTCGAGGCCCGACAGAACAGCGACCGCGCCAACGTCAAAGCGGGGGACATGCGGCATGCGAGACGACCAAGCGACTTGTCTCGCTCTGCTGCCCTTGACACCAGTGCCGTCGATAGCGCCCTGCTCCGCGAGATGCACAGATCGCAGCGCGAGAGCACGCCAGGTGCCAGTCCGTCGCGGAAGCGTCAAAGGATAAACGGAGACAGGTGGGTGCAATTCAACATGTCTTGCGGGAGCCGAACGCCCATGCTGATCAAGCTCAACTTGCTAGGTTTATCCCCTCACGGTCTGGGCAAGACTTGCAAGCAAGTTTCAACCTTTTGCACGAGGATGGCTCGCCTGCGACGCCCTCGAAGCAGAAAAAACGCACCCCTCACGGCGAGCTGCACTTTCAGAAGAGTAAGAAGTCCTTGCATGCCCACACGCATGTCCCCAGACCCCTTGTCCAAGTCCAAGTAGCTCACACTTTCTACCAGCCGAGGAAGCCAACCGAACCTTCTCAACGCTGCTTCGCGCCGAGCTCTTTGAGGGCTCTGTACCGCAAACAACACCACCTGCCATGTCACCAGATCACTCTACATCCGCAAACCCTTACACTGGCATTGTGCGATCTCACACACCACCAAATAACAACTCTACGACCTCACTTCCCTCCACAGCAACACCATCCACTCCGCACAAGAACCTTTTCTCGTACATGTCGCCACGTAACTTAAGTGCGGGCGGGCATTTGACTCCCTCGAGAACGCCCCAGAGCAGGCACGGGCCAAACCTCGACACCCGTGCTGAGATTTACAGCCTTTCACCCGTTCGCTTCAACAGCCAACAGATGCTGCTGAGCCCTCGCAGGCAGCCCAGAGCTGTGAGCAAGGTGCCTTACA